TTTAGGGTGTGGAAAAATGTTGTTAGCTATAGTAAGATTGCACATATAGAAGTGCACGAGGTGAAGACATTATGAGTTTGTTTGGGGGAGGACAATCACCCCCGGCCAAACAGCGGGACAGTTACCCCCCCCCCCCGGACAACCACGCCCGAGGACAATTACCCCCGAGGACATATTTCCTTCTTGAAATTACCCCCTGGAAATTATCCCCTGGAAAATCACCCCCGCCTCGAGTAATCGGGGGAGGTTGCCCTTGAGGGTGCGGGGGGTAACGGGAGCCCCAAGGAGAAAAAAATAACCGATTTGTTTTCTTCTGATGAACAGGGTTTAATTTCCGGGGGGTAATTTTCCTCGGAACTGGTTGTCTTTGTTTGACCTTGGGAGGGGGAATTAGGAATTATCGACCTAGGGAGTAATTTTCAGGGGGAAGTTGTCCTTAAGTTGGTTGTCCTTGTTGGTAGTTTACCGGTGGGTAATTTTCCAGGGGATGATTGTACAGGGGGTATTTGTGTCCTGATATGAACTATACGGCCTATAGGCCTGCACCTCATGGATGCAAAAATTCAATGAATGAATGAATAATTGAAAGATACATTTCATTTAAGTATAAGTACATGTGCATTTACTGATGGAATGATAATGAAAAAGAGAAAAAATGATACTTATATACCGTTAAAAGCTGGCAGTTTCTTTTTTCCATTTCCGTATAGTTAATAATAAGTCATAGGTTTTCCTTTTGATTGAGTAATCAACCATAAAGCAAAAACAAAACATGCTCACACGTCTCATAGACATATGCATGAACACACACATACACACACGCACACACACACACAAACTAAGTTTTTTTTCCTTTATCTTTAATAGATTGTGACAAGAAGATCTGTGAAAACGGCTGGTGCGAGGAGACTATGGAAAGCTTTTTATGCCACTGTTCACCTGGTTTTCAAGGGAAACATTGCAATGAGCGTAAGAACAATAAACCAAAGCATTTGAGTTCTGATAAAGGTTTTAAAAACATAATAAGAATATTTTGAATATCATAGCAGTAGACCTAATAGTAGCGATTGTATATGGTTCAGAGAGTTTGAATGTGTAGAAAGTAGAAGAGGGTATCTTGAGCCCTAATACGGAAGATGCGTGGTTGTCAGATAGAAAGAACATACGTGAACTCAAGGAAAGATTAGGTCATTTACCTGGTTTTCGATTATTTTTTTCCCCGCCTTCCCGCTTTATCCCCCTTTTCCCTTGATAAATCCCTTACATAAAGAGAGTGTATCTTTTTTTAATTATTTTTCTCCAAACATCATGGAATTGGCACGGATCACTGTTTTGTATAGTCTTGTTTAGGCGGAGGCAATTTACCCTGGGGTAAAGGTCGTGTTAAAAGCTATTCGGGTAAATATGGTAATGTAGGTAAGGTCGGAGTAGGACCGTGTAAACGATGGTCGTGTTAGCTACGCCTACCTTTACCCCGACCTATTTACTCCTGGATTTACTAATACGACTAGAGGGTAGCGTAAGTTGAACGTGTGGATGCTCTCACTTACACTCGGGGGTATCTGTAACCTTTCAGTAGAATTGTTTGTTATATTCGAAAATAAAAATTAGATTTCGCACGGTTTATGCGGAAGGCGGGTGAGGTCGACTAATGTGGGCGCCGTCACTTACATTACGCTGGTCGGTGTAATGTCGTGTTAACTTAATTGTGGCAAGTTAAATAAAATGAGGTATTTACTGCTGTAGGGATTAATTTACACCGACTCGCAAAACCCCGTCTGAACATGGCTAATATCATATAAAATCCCACAGTCGAAGGTTCCATAAAATGTCAGTAGAGGTGTTATGGTTTTATTACATACATACTTGATACGTCTAGATGTGAAATGTTGTGGAAGAAATAAAGCATAGGTTAGTAGTGAAGAGATCTTTCTAATTCAAATCCTCATCCATGTCATTTGATATGCGGACTTCTATTGAAATTATTTCAGGTGCGGTAGAAATAGTTGCATGGGAGAGCAACAGGGATGACAAATTGTTTCAAAAAATTCAAATTAGGAAAAGGACGAGGAAATAAATTTGAATGAAGAGAAGATAAAATGATAGCGGAATAACAGATTTTTGAGGAAACAAGTTTAAGAAGATAGATAAGGACAACAAAAACATGAACAGATTAAATAATGTATACAGCCTTTCTTTCTATTGACAAGAAATATTGTTTCTGTTGTACTTCTTCTATCTTGAATAGAATTGTTTTAGTTGTTTTTGCTAATAGAAAACATAACTTAAGTCCAATCCAGTTGGTGGAGTTTATTTGAATTTAATTCAAATTCAAAGTCTAACGTGAATATCCATATATATGTTTATGCATGGAGAAATCGTACTTTTTTGCATTTCAGAAAATTCAAATCAATTCAATTCATTTATTTATTCAACCATCAAAATATGCATACAATCAAAATAAGTTACATCAAAAATTTAGCAGAACACAATGTTGGTTTGATGACCCCGGAGAAAAGGGGCCAACAAATTAAAATACATAAACAGATCAACAATACAGTCATGTACAAAGAAAATCACCATCAAACATTAATATAAACAAGGAAAAAAGAGAAGTACACTTCTAGCAGCAGCAGCAATATATATATATCGTCGAGTATATATGAGGGCAAAGAGAAAAAAAAGAGCGAACAAGAATTATTATCAAGAACATATTATGAAGAAATTAAGATTTCCCTGCTTAGCTTTATATCTTCATAATAAGCACTTAACTGCATCGAAATAATCGTAATTGGTGAAAATGGCACGATGCTACTTGTTAATAATAGATTATCCTGCTAAAAACGTATTTGCAAAAGAATAATAGATTTTTTAAAGCCGTTTTTAATGTTAAGTGATCTTCAGTCAAACAGGGAAAAGAGGCAGAAGGAGAGAGAGGGGAAAGAGAGAGAGAGAGAGAGAGAGAGAGAGAGAGAGAGAGAGAGAAAGGCAAATGGCTCTATATGCATCTCCAACTGCGTGGAGATTTGCAAATTTTGCTCAATGTCTTGCCCAAAAACCTTAGTGCCGGGCTGGGATATGAACCCTTAACCCTTGGACTGAATGTCAACTGAATGAACCAAATGGAAATGTTGTTTATTGTCGGCGACAATAAGCGATAAGAAAAGCAAAACATTCCAAGTGTGCCTCATTCCTTTGAATTCAGGGGTGGGGGAGAGGGGTGGGGGTGTAGAGATCATTTGGAATTGTACTTGAGTAATTTGGGGGAGGGGTATAGTATATCTATAAAGCGCTTATAGAGACATTTGTATTTAGCGCTATATAAAAGCGGAATATTATATATTATTATTATACAGCCCCTAAGATGTACCAGCATTAGACAAATTTCAATTTTTGCTTTGTTAAAGTTGTTCGTTTGATACATCTTACTAGAATTCTGACAGCTGAAATATTAACACTGCGAATCTTATGTGACCCCTATAGTGGGGTTTTCTGTTAGCCCTGTAGACCATTTCAGAATTACTATATGATTTTCAAATGAACGTGAATATCCACAAATATTTGTATACATGGAGAAATCGCACATTTTTCATTTCAGAATAATCACTGCCAACAGGCGGCCTTTTTATTAACACTTCATGAACCTTATACGTTAGGTGCCCCCCACCCCCTAGGTACCCTCAATAACCCCACATATAAAGGCCATAGTTGGTTTATTATCATTCTTCTCTTTCTTCCTGTTTTTGTTCTTGTTTTCCTTCTTTTTCATATTCATGATATGAATCATTATTATTATTCATTGCTTTCTATGAATCTTGTGTCACGGCAGAAACACCCTTAGTATTGGCTGACTTCACGGACATGTCTACGATCATACCGGCCGAAATGACGCAAGTCACCGCCACGGACGGTGAGCATTTCATAGCATTCCCGTTGTACACCTGGTTTCAATTCCCTGGCGTAGGATTGTGTTATTTTTATCAAATCTATGATAGCTATTAATCTATAAGTATTATTGTCTATACGGTGTCACCCTCATACTTCGCGTCAAAGACGACAAAGGTCACTAACGCAGTCCTACGTCAGGTGAATAACACCTCCCGCTCAACGTCCGGCGTTATAACCGCTCCGTGCCTCTTGTACACGAAGCGTCATTCTTGTGACGCATGGCTGAATCAGTGAGTTGTGTGGTGTTTGACGCACCATGGGAGATTGACATTCAGGAATTGTCAACAAAATTAATAAAATATGAACAGTACAAGGGTCCTTTGGAATAACTGACTCACACTCTGTAGTCCTCATCTTTTGAGGCACTAAATAGCAGCAATTGTCGATCAAGATTAAAATGTAGATTATAAGGCCATTTTTAGTCTAAACGTGTTTTTTCTCACAATGAGATGTTTTATTCTATACCCTCCCGGTCCGCATTGTGGTATGGTCACTCCTCCTGTTACTAGTAGTATAGTCAACTTGACATTTTCTTTATTAAGTTTTCTTTAAACTATATTTTTATTATAACACCATCCCTATACTACGTCGCTGATATTGAATTCCTGTCCAGGGCTCTCATCCACCACGTAAGGTGCTCAAAGAACTCCAGTATTACCTCAGTTATTGTCTCTATTAGCTAGGCTACCGATTCCGGAGCTCTCGACATTCAGAAGGTCTCTCTTTAGAACCAGTCAGGTGCCCATTTATTACACCTTGTAGGAAATATCGCAATTTAAGAGGCAAGACATGTATATCTCCCTGGGTCAGAAGTAAACCTTGTCCAAGGATGTAAGTACCAAGCAAAGATCGAATCCGGGACATTCTCCTATGAGAGGCCGGTCCAATGAAATTCAATTCTCTCAACTACGACACCTTTGTATTTCCTATCAGTTCCGAGGCTGCCACGTGACTGCGCTGAGATTCAGACTGGTGGACCATCCCATCTCAGTGGGGTGTACCTCATCTATCCCGATGGAGTTAGTGATGAACCTCTCTTCGTTTACTGTGATATGGAAACGGATGGAGGTCGCTGGACGGTGAGAAATGACGGTGATAGCTAGAATGGCTCTTGTATCAACCCCATCTACGTTTAACATGATCGCAAAGATTTTCAAGAAACACGATAGCAGCTTTCTTTAAAAAATGACGCTTGCCTTGTACGTCATCTATTGAAATATGCGAACATAACAATGAAGTATAACGTAATCCGAAAAAGAAATTATATGGGAAATATAGCCCTTTAGTTGACTTTTCGAAAATGGATCGTGTTAAGAATCAACTCAAGAGCATTATTTACCCTAGACCGAAAACTTCAGTCTCTCTAATCGTCGGTAGTTCCACTGAGACTACGTCTGGCTCCATTAGACCTCCGATTATGTATTGGGGAATGTCAACAAATGTCAGTTTTATTAAAGATATGACCCAAATCAGACGGTTATTTCTGTCTATATCTACCCTATATCCTATTGCATTCATCAACGTTGTCCACTCTCCACCCAGGTGTAAACAGGTATCTGATAATTGCTGGGGTAGATTAGTTTACGGTTAGCACATGGCTGCAATGACCCCGAATATACACAGACCTTCAAAGCATGAAGAGATCCCACTATGTACATTTTTAAATAAATCATGGAGTACACTGCTTGTGCATGAATGAATAATGATTACATAACTTTTATGAGCACGTATCCAGTATTTCGTCTTCGTGTATTTCGAAATTTGTTCTGCAATGACCTTTATCTGCTCATGCTCAGACTGCAACCATGAACTTGCCTGTTGAATGGCCCTCATGAAGAACAGAGTCGATAGTGGTTATTGATATTGATTTGGTTGATTTTTTAATAGTCTTTGCCATCGCATTCTTCTTGGCCCACAATTTAGACTGCGTATCCTTATGATTGGAGCGAAATGTGGTAACATCCACTTTTCTTCGTGTTGGTACACTTTTCAAGAGTAATTCTATAACATTTAATAACACACATCTCATCGCAAGTGTAATTAGTGTTCTGAATTAATTATTAATACACACACACAATCTCTCTCTCTCTTTCTCTCTCCCTTTCTTTCTACATCTTTCTTCATCTTTCTCTCTTTTAATTTTTTCTCTCTCTCACTCTATTTCGATATCTGTCCCTCTCTCTCTCTCTTTCTTTCTTTCTCTTTATCTATCTCTCCGCCTCTTTCTCTCCCTCTTTTTTTTTTCTCTCTCTCTCTGTCTCCCTCTCTCGTTCTCTATCTCTCTATCTTTCTTTCTCCAACCCCCCCCCCCCTATGCCTCCCTCCCACTCTCTCTGTAGGTCTTCCAGCGTAGACAAGATGGTTCTGTTGACTTCTCTCTTTACTGGTCCGATTACAAATACGGTTTTGGAAACGTTTCCTCCGAGCACTGGCTCGGTAACGACAACATCCACCGTCTTTCCCGTAATAAGACCTACGAGCTACGGATCGACCTCGAAGACTTCGATGGACAAACGCGCTATGCCACCTACAGCAATTTCAGTATTGCGGACGAGGTCGCAAAGTACATCCTGGCCCTTGACAAGTACTCCGGAGACGCAGGTATGAAATAGGGCGATCCTGCGATGTGTCCTATACATGATCATTTTAATTCATCAAAAATATGGTTCCTCTTGGTATCACTAATATTATTAATTGGTCAAATCAATTAAGGTGTCTGTTTTTCTTTTTTCGACATGAAATAAACGGGGTATGTCGGACCAATGTGGAATCGCGGAATGACCCAAGGGTATACACGATACGTTATGCGGTTTATACGGCCATGTAGTAGGCTAATGCGGTAATACAGTAAAAAGGCAATTCTGTTATACTGTAATTTCTTAATATGGTTCATTGTAATACGGTTAAAGGCCCTGTGGTAATACAATCGTAAATGTATATGGTTAAACGATAAAACGGTTATACGTTAATAGTGTAATACCGCAATTCATTTATACAGTTAATATACGATTTTACGGTAAAACGGTATTTACCATCAAACGCTCTCTCACATCTGACGAGGTAAACGAGGAGGGGGTTTGTTGTTGATAGTTTTTGTTTGCTTGTTTTTGTTTTCTTTAACCCGTAACAAGATATAAAGTCGAGAAGTGAGGGTTGAAGAAAAAAAGTATCCGTGAATAATAACGAATGCTCACCCACACGCATCTGTCTGTTACATCGAAATACAGAAGACACAGCATTCACCGATGGACGGACAAACGGACGGCTTCGTATAATACATACACGCAGCATCAAGTCGAGTACGGAGAGATCGTGTTTATATTGAACTAATTTATATCATGTGTATACCATAAATCAATTTCTCATTTCTATGCAGGTGACAGTATGTCGTTTCATGCAGGTTATTCGTTCAGTACACGGGACCGCGATCATGATGATGCAGCGGGACACTGCGCCGGTTATTACAAAGGAGGCTGGTGGTACAATAAATGCCATCGTGCTAACCTCAACGGCCTATACCTGAACGGTCCAACCACACAGGCGGAGAGCGCCAAGGGTGTGGTATGGGGTGTATGGCTCGGTAATTTATACTCCCTCAAGAAGACGGAGATGAAGCTTCGACCGACGTAAATAACAAACGACTGTCATAAGAAAGTGCTGGTTTACCACGGGGTTTCGTAAGCACACTTAAGACCATCGCACTTTATGTTTCGTATCTTATCACACATAGCTTCTAAGCATTTTCTCCTTTAATAAAGACACAAATTACAACACCCTCAAAACACTGTTACTCATTTTGGTATCGGTTTAACATAAGGGGGTTATGCAGTGTTGCTGTGATAAGTGTTAAAAAATTTCGAGGGTTATTCGGGGAATAAGCACTGTAATGTTTCTTACGGCTTTTTGAAAGAAGGAAACCTCAAATTAGAATATTTGCTAAATGTTGTCTGGCAAGATTTAATTATTTTCTACAAGAGTTTTAACAAAAAAGATGCAGTGAATTATATCCATGTAAATATATTGTAATTCTGTAATATTGTTATATTGTAATTCTATTATTGAAAAATTATGTCCTGAAGTATGTTAAACTTTAGCTTATGTGTATCTTACTTGATGATCGAATGCCCACAATTATACAATTTACACACAACTGCGCCAGGAGTGTCAATTTTGACAGACATGGCGCATTATAAATGTTCACTATTATTATTTAGGAAAGAAGCAGAAATAGAGAAAACTACCACCATTGCTTTTTGTGCACCTTATACATACATGTATTATTAATATTGAACTGACGTGTTTCACAAACTTTATCATTGGTCATATTGTTATTAGTATTATTCTTACCATCATTAATGTATTGTAGAAAACGTACTTTAGAGAAGAGACTATATGTAGGGAATTATGGAGATAGATATTATACGAAGACAGTTCTTACATTCTTGCATATAAAGTAACAGTCAATCTACTAGTTCTCAATTTTAAACAGACACACAATGATGATGAAATAATCATTAATTATTATAAAGTATCGATGTTCATGCAGCCTCATTCGTGTTTAATACTTCAGAATGTAAAAAGCACATTTTATTCATATTAAATTGTTTGAATCTCATATAAATAATCTATCGTTTATATCTTCGTCTTGGTCCTTACACTTTTGGAATTCTCAAGAACATCTCATTCATATTTCAACCATTTATGAAAGGTTAACTCAATGAAGTGTGCAGGTTTTGTGTGTATTGGGCGATGATAGGAGAATGAATTTTAAAGGAAGAGTTATTTAAAAAAATACAACAACAAAAAAAAGGTTAGGGAAAGGAAACCAATAGAGACAAGCGTCCAATATTAGGACGTGTTGTGCAAGTAATTTACCTTCTTTCCATAGTATTGTCTTGTTTCAGTTTGTCCAATATTAATTTGAATTCATTCAAAAAAACATCACAAGTAAAAAAAAACAAGCATTTACTTAAAAATACAACTTCTCCGCCTGAACTTTATAAAACGTCCCATGGCCAAAATGTCTCTGACGTCAGCACGGAAAGATGTTCATTGCACCACACTGAATGGTCTCAGCTCTTTTTGGCCTTGCCGACCCCCCTGTGATGCTGGATGAAGGGGACAGTGATAAACCTTGAAGATATCGAAATCTCTCCTTTAATGGTAGAGGGAATACTTGTACAGCTTAGCATTGAAGATGTAGGCTGCAAGATTGATGTAGTGAATTTGATGCACGTATAGGAAAGATGTAGAAAAAGAGACAAATACAACCATTTTTTTCCTTTGCGCCTTGTACATATTAATATTGAACTGACGTGTTTCGAAAACATTACCATTGCTCATATTGTTATTAGAATTAGTATAACCATCACTAATGTATTGTAGAAAACTTAATTCAGAGAAGAGAGTATATGTAGGGAGATAAAGAGATAGACATCTTACGAACACAGTTCTTGCATTCTCGCATATGAAGTGACAGACAATCTACTAGTCCTCAATTTTAAACAGACACACATTGATGATGAAATAATAATTGATTATTATCAAGTATCGATTTTCATGCAGCCCCATTCGTGTTCAGTAATTATAACATAGTGTAAGAAGCACATCTTATTAATACTAAATGGTTTTGATCTTATATAAACATTTTCTCATTTATATTTTCGTCTTTGTTGTTACTCTTCTGTAGTTCTTATTATGTTATTCTTCTTTCAATCATTTATGAAAAGGCAACTAAATGAGATGGGAAGGATGTGTGTGTATTGGGCGATATTGCGAAGGTAGTTTTAAAGATACTATGTACCTTTTGCAGCCAACCTCAAATTCTGTAGAACTTCTGCAAGAATTATGAATATGTCATGTACAGTATATCCTATCTGTGAAATGTAAACGTTAGCAGAGTCCTAATATTCAAATTATGCAAGGAAAACCATTTACTTGCTAGACTTCACGGTCGATCAGACACTATTGTCAGTATTGAGTGACTGACTGGCTTTTTCTTCTTCTTTGGTAATAACATACATAAAATGAGCTGTAAAGGGATTTGTCTACATCAATAACCCATCTTGTAATGGCCAAAATTAAACTGATTGAATCTTTGCGCAGCATAAAACGTACGACCATGCGGTACAATGGTCTGAAAATCAAGACTATTACTTTTTGGTTCTATTGCTCCTAAGTCAATTTGGAAACTAATAGTCGCTATTTTCCCTCTTAAAGACATTTTCAAGCCCCATTTTTTTAAGGGGAGTTCTAAATTAGTATTATCTTTCAATTGCCATTGGAATTTCACCTTTTCATTTTTTTGGCCTGCAAAAGGGGCATAGTACCTTTATAAGGAGAGGTATATCAAAAAATACCAAGATACAAAAAGGCTAGGGAAAGGAAACAAATATAGACAGGTACACAATCCTAGGACTTGTTGTGCAAGTGCGTTTTTTTGTGTGTGTGTGTGTGTGTGTGTGTGTGTGTGTGTGTGCGTGTGTGTGTGTGCGTGTGTGTGTGTGATAGAGAAAGAGAGAGAGAGAGAGAGAGAGAGAGAGAGAGAGAAAGAGAGAGAGAGAGAGAGAAACAAAGATGAGAGAGAGACCGACTTCTTAGGGACACTCCCAAAACTACCACATATCGAGGCACCAATCGACATAAAGATATAGATGGTTTGCAAATTAGACATATTCAAAATGTGAAATATCTTGGGTGTGGTTGGACCAGCACCTTAACTGGAATGAACACATTAAAGATAGACTTGAGTTCTGGTAATGCGATTGCATTGTGAAAGAAAAGGTGTGGAATGAATCAGAAAAGTTGATCATATAGCATGTAATAATGGTGTGTAATGCAAGGTTCTGGAGTCATCAAAATCATCATAAATTTGGCAGAGTCTTGGTAAAGTAACAATCACTTACACAGAAAGATGTATATGGGACAACACATATGGTGTCGGGGCTAGTACTACCCTGATTTCCTTATCTTTTGCACAAGTTATGTGAGAAAAATGTAAACAAAATCCAAAACATAGCACACGCAAATAGGGAGCCTGTCACAAACTTGAATATATAGGGCCAAATAAAAAAATTAAAAAACATTTTAAGCGTCCTGTTTTTTCGAAAATTAGAAAGGGGGAAGCCCTTTTTTTTCTTCTTTTTTTTCTTTCAAAATGGCCTCTCAAAATGGCCGCTCGGTACATTTCCCTGACCGTCGGGCTATTTTTCAAGATGGCCGCCGACTTTTTTTATTTATTTTTTTAAAATCAGAAATAGATCCATTTTAGCAGTGTTTTTCATGTTTTTTTTTCTTTAAAAAAAAAAAATCAAAAAATCAAAAATTTCAACAACAACAACAAAAAAAAAAAATAGGAGGCGGCCCCAAAAAGGAAGCGGGCGGGGACGCTAAACATGTATATTTTTTTTAATGGCCTAGTACTTAAATTTGTATTCTTTCTGGTATATCGAGTTTACTATTCATCATGTAATGATGTTTTCATGTATATGTATTTGTATGTTATGCAAGGCTCCCAAGAATAACAGTATTTTAATTACTGATGGGGCTACCCTGTTGAAATAAAACGCAATTAATAAAATAAATACAAAAATAAATAGAGAGATGAAAGAGAGAAAGAGAAAGAGAGAGAGAGAGAGATAGAGAGAGATATATATAAAGAGAGATGAAAGAGAGAGAGAGAGAGAGGGGAGGGAGGGAAGGAGAGAGAGAGGGAGAGGGAGAGAGAGGGGAGGGAGGGAAGGAGACAGAGGGAGAGAGAGAGAGAGAGGGAGAGAGAGAGAGAGAGAGAGAGATGAGAGAGACAGCGGGGGGGGGGGGGGGGGGGGGGGGGGGGGGGGGGGGGGGGGGAGGGGTAAAAAACGGGCTACCCGGTACACATAATAATATATTGTGTTGAATTTTGAAAAAATGTATATACAAAATATATGTACAGAAATGTTGACAATAAAAATAGGATGGTATCTAACTATGCTGGGGCAGGACTAAAGTGAAAAGGAAGGTTGAGTGTACAAAGAATTCAACAATAGGTCCCAAAGACCAGTATTGGAAACGCCCTAATTTCAAAAAAATGAAATGGAAGCTCTTATTACCAATCATGTGAAAGAATATGTTTTGACTACTACATGATGATACAAATTTTTCTGGGAAACCGCCTTCTAATTGATATATTTGGTAAATTAGTTTATCTACATGGCCTGTGAGAGATAAACGCACATGTCGCGCACGTGTGCGTACATATTGCTCCGATTGTCTCATTTTCGCTCGCGTGAACATTGCCAGCACAAAACACTGACCTCCACCTCCTGGACGGATCATCGCCCATTCCCATTCACTATACGTTACGTACTAAAAGGCTGTATTGTCTGACCGTTCATGAATATTCATGTTTTTGCTAAACTCGGCAAAATGTTTGCTTTTACTAAATGGAAAAATTACGGTAGGGGTTGGATGAAATGGACATAATGAACGTAGCAGAAGTGATAATTGATAATTCATGCTTCTTATCCTTCCTGTTGATCTATAATCTTACAATCGCTTGGCAGACTGAGTCCAAAGTTCGACTTGTTTCACATGTGTATTATAGGCAATGGCGAGCTTGCAACCTATTTTGAAAAATTACGGTGGGTGAACTTTCAAAAGTCAATGAGACATGAGGGCTCCAATGAAAGAGCTAGTGATAACGTACGTCGGGGTGGATGTGCTTTTCGTTTAAACAAAAAATGAATTTTTAACGATTAAAAAAAAAAAAAATCCATAGGCTAACATGTATGGCTGCTGACTTTGACGATATGGGGCGTTGTGAAATGAGACTAAACGGAGCTATATGTAGTCCCATATACATCTTTCTGTGTACAGTGCTTGTATCTTTACGAAGACTGGGCCAAATTTCTTATCATATTGATTAACCCAGAACCTTGCAGAACACACCAATACTTATATGATAGATGATCAACCTTTTCTGATCCATTCCACAACGTTTCTTTCACAATGCAATCGCACGACCATAACTGGACTTTACCTTTAAACTTAGAGTTCAAGGATTCAATATTGTTTGATTGTTTCTCAATCTGGCTATGTGTTCGTAGTATGTCCATGATCTGCCACTGCGAGGTGCGTGCGTTGTCCAGAGCAGATCACGCATGCATGGTTAGAGCATAGAGATGCGGTCGTAGATACTTCGCTCCCGTTTCGGTTTGATAAAGCATGCATCGTACTGAAACTAACTACTTGCATGCGTGTTCATGTTGAAGTTGATCAGACTTTGTTACATGGAATAATAACCTTCAACAGGTTCAACCATTGTTTAGTTTAAACCGAACCTTTGAACCCTGGAATATCAATCATGGAATTGCCTTGCATTGGAAGTGAAATAGCAGAAGGTACTATTGCAAGTGAAGGGCGAGCTGCTCGTGATGATGGAAGTCGTACAATTATCTGGTGTGTACCTCGCTCTGTTTCTACGGCTCTCACAAAGTGTCTTAGTTTCATTGAAGGCATCCAAGTGTGGTTAGAACCCTACACTTACTGCAGAATCACCCAAGTGAATATAAAGCAACAGCTAGACCTTGATGTACCGGCCGAATACGAAGGGAATGAAGAGATTTATAAACGAATGGCTGATCACCTTAAAGAGACCGGCAGGGGAACGCAACGACACAAGAGAACCTTTCGTAAGTTTTACATGTATGCGGCCAAGGCTCAAAATCCCCCCCCCCCCCCCACTCAGTGTTATTTAGGGTACGCATGTGCGTGTTCCCTCCTTTTAAAAAAACCCCTAAGTCCGGTGTGTCAATTTTGTGTACGAGCCGGACTTTGGTGCGTGAAAAGTACTACTTAACCGGACGTTTTGGTAACACGCATGCGGTCATTCCGACCCCGGAGTGGAGGGGGGGGGGGGGGGGCGGGAAGGCTGTGGGCGATACGCCCCCGTAAGCTTCGTAATCGCTTCCGTGAGATTACTCAAGGGGGCGATTGCAAAATTACAAATCGCCCCCGTGGAATTATAGAATAAAGATGATCTTTTCTGTTATAACTTTCACACAATATTGAGTTTCAACTTTCAAACCTTAAACCAATGAAATGGAACTATGGAAATTAGGTTAGCGTGCAGGATTTCTCGCTCTAATTTGTTGGTGTCTATAGAGGTTACCATACTGCAGGGGCGGATCCAGCCGGCGGCAGGGGAGGGGGCCCAATTGGTGAGAAAATATTTAGCGGCGACACAGCCGACCGATAATTCGCATAGTGGGGGGGGGGGGGGGGGGGGGTAGTGAGCACTAATTTATTTTTTTTTTGCTCCCGAAAATTTGAAAATCGTGCCGGCCGATAATTCGCTCAGCCCCCAGCCCCCCCCCCCTGGATCCACCACTTGTGTCCAACAATTTTTCACAAAATAACTAAAATTTCTATTGTGCAAAATGTATGTCTCCGGAGAGTCTTTGCATTTTAGAGTACCTAGATAATATGCTTTCCATAATACTCTCATTACCTTAGCCTGCTTATGCACTATTTGAATTCAATGGACTTGAATTTCTCTGTGCATAAACCCGTACAACTATAATTACTTTTACTTCATTTATCTCTAATCTTTTTTTTTTTTGAAGAGTACCTAAAAAGATTGTAAAACAAAGGTGTTTTTAGTATTATAATCATGAAGTTTTTATCGTTATGCACATAATCAAGAAACTAAGGTTACCTGTTTACGATTCTATTCCATATGGTGTTTTAATTATTATGATAATCAGAAAGGTTTGATTGCCGTGCACTAATCAAGAACCTAAGGTTCCCTGCTTACAATTCTACTATTCCAAACGGTGTGTGTATTGTAGCTTGTTTTATACATGTATGCTAAGGACTATAATCAATCCATCGGAGTGAACACATTAGTACATACAATCCATGATTGTGCAAATCGATATCTGGGGCAGGCAACGTTCGGTCAGATTTTAGCTTCATATTCAAACAACTTTTCGCGTAACTTTTTTAAGTTTTGTTAACAAAAAAAAACCTATAGACGCCCTGTATATATTTGAAATGTTGGTTTATTTTGCTTAGAGAATAAAAACAACTTGTTGCTGAGACATGTTGAAGAAAAATGGTCTAATGGAAAAAGTAATAGATTACACTTTTCTGCTATGCAGGGAGGGGAAGTCCACCCTGATATTAAGTTAGCATCATTAGAAGCAGAACAATAATTTGGGTTTTCTGTTGTACGCAGAAAAATCTAAATTTTGTATTCTTTCATCAATATTCGACTTTAAACGCATTTGTTTTAAAAACCCAGGCAGAAATTAAATTAGATCCTCTTTCACATTATGATACAATTTGAGTCAAATTTTACCATCAAACTTTTGGGGCTACCAACGCTTAAGAGGCTCTACACCAGTCGCGGATCCAGGATTTCTTAGGGGGGCCCAAATTTGAAATTATGCGAGCCAAATATCGGTACGTAATGGTGACCTGCATTGACGTAGTGGGGGGGGGGGGTGGTGCAGGGAGGAGCGATTTCCCCCTCCTTCCTCCGCAAAGCGCCGAAGCTTTGACGTTTCATTAAATTATTAGACAAAGAAGACGATTCGTTGTACCGTTCTCGAAAATAATCCTCGTCTGAATTCAGTTTACCCTCCCCCCTCCCGCGCGAAGCGCCGAAGCTTTTACATTTCATTAAATCATTAGAGAAAGAAACCGATTTGTGGTACCGTTGTCGACTCTTTTCCTCGTTTGAATTCAGTTTCCCCCTCCCGCGCAGAGCGCGGAAGCTTTTACGTTTCATTAGATCGTTAGAGAAAGAAGACGATTCGTATTACCATTCTCGACTCTTAATTCTTGAATGAATTCAGCCCCCCCCCATCCTGCGCGAAGCGCGGAAGCTTTGACGTTTTATTAAATTATTAGAGAAAGAAGACGATTCGTTATACCATTCTCGACTCTTAATTCTTGTCTAAATTCGGTCCCCCCCCCCTCCTGCGCGAAGCACGGAAGCTTTTACGTTTCATTAAATCATTAGAGGAAGAAGACGATTCGTATTACCATTCTCGACTCTTAATTCTTGTATGAATTCAGCCCCCATCCTGCGTGAAGCGCGGAAGCTTTGACGTTTTATTAAATTTTTAGAGAAAGAAGACGATTCGTTATACCATTCTCGACTCTTAATCCTTGTTTGAATTCAGTCCCCTCCCCCTCCTGCGCGAAGCGCGGAAGCTTTGACGTTTCATTAAAATTATTTAAGAAAGAAGACGTAATGGTACCTAATGGTGACCTGCATTGACGTAGTTGGTGGGGGGGGGGGGGGGTACAGGGAGGGGCGATTTCCCCCTCCCTCCTCCGCAAAGCGCCGAAGCTTTTACGTTTCATTTAATCACTAGAGAAAGAAACCGATACGTTGTACCGTTCTCGACTTTTAATCCTCTGAATTTCAAAAAAAAAAATTCTCTCCTCTCTTTTTTTTGGCCGGTGTTTTTTTTGGTGGGGGGGGGGGGGAGAGGCGCCCCCACCGCCCCATGGCTACACCTCTGCGGTCAGATAAGCATATTTTGACACCTTGTCCGCTCACGAAGACCCAGGGGATTAAGGCAATAAATTACGGTCAGACAAGCATTCAGGGGTTCGCCTTAGGGGCCCTGGTGGGGTCGAGGGTGCGAAAACCCTGGAATCTCAGGGGTTTTAGGCATTTGATTACGTTCAGATGAACATATTTTTATACCTTATTTGTGACACTGGCAGGACACTGATTGGTGTGAGGTCCAGCGGGCGGAGCCCCCAGAAGCTCAGGGGTTTTAGGCATTAACATTATAAGAATCCAGGGGTCCGCCTTAGGGCCCTAGGCGGGGTGCAGGGAGCAGATCCCCCGGAAGCTCAGGGGTTTTAGGCATTTGATTACAGTCAGATGAACATATTTTAATATTTTATTTGTGACACTTGCAGGACACTGATTGGCGTGGGGTCCAGCGGGCGGAGCCCCCAGAAGCTCAACTATTCTTTCTTTCTTGCTCTTTTTCTTTCTATTTTTCTTTAATATACTTTGTCAAAAATTGTGTGGGAGGGGGGGGGGGCACCTCAAGAAGCATATTTCTTGCCTGGCTGGCTAAATTTAGGAATTTGTCATTTTACAATAAACGCATAAAAATGTATAATTTACTAAAAAATGAGGAAAAATCTCGGAAAATTATGTCATTTAAGCATTATGTGTAAGCCACCGTAACGGTTATCGAATTAGAAATAAACCCCCTCCCCGATCAAGACGCCAGTGCCCCGCCCCCCCCCCCTGATTTATACTTTGCTGGCGGAAAAATCGCGACTGACCTTCCCTACCTTTTTTCTTTTTCTTTTTTTTCTCCCTTTCTCTCCACATTTGGAAAAATTACGTCGTCAGATATTTCGTTCAGTGGCTTGGGGGAGGAGGAACACTTTAAAAAAAAAAAAAAAAAAAATCTTTCCCCTTTTTTCCCCTTTTTTTTCCCTTCTTTTTTCGGGGGGGGGGGGGCCGGGCCCACATTCCCTGGATCCGCCACTGCCATATTGTAGACAAATGGGACGCTTTTTCTTTGCAAGATTGCGCTATATCTCCCATCTCCACAACTCTATGAGTATTACAGATACGGTACAAACAACGGAAGCTCGCAGTGCAGTGCGGCCGTCAGAAGTGGTTATGCACAGGCACGTAGCCAGAGTTTGATGTTTTTTTTTTTTTTTGGGGGGGGGGGGGGGGGGGGCACATACATGTAATCGATCGAGGTAAAAAAAAAGGTTCTAAAAAAAGTGCCTGGTTATACTCGCTGCGCCGGTAGTATACTGATGCATGTCCACGCTGCCGCCCCATATCTTCTGGAGCTAGAAAGAGGCGATCGCGCAAGGACCGAAACGTGGCGAAGTTTTTCGATGTGAAAATCGTGAATCTTCTGAAATGTGGTGATTCCAAAAGACAAGCAAATAATGAACCTTGACCAGTAAATCAACCGAAAGCTAACTTTAGTAAAATGAAACCAGTTGGCGAGGAGGCGACTGTACGGGCTTGGACAAAAAAAATTCGTACAGAGGGAGGAGATCTGACCATTAGCTGCATGCAGGCGCGTACGCAGGATTTTTTTCAAGGGGGGGGGGGGGGGGGGGGGGGGTTAACATTTTTAAATCGGGCCGAAAAATTTTGCAACAAATCAGCCAGCCGCTGAATAATCGGGGAAGGGGGGGGGGGGGGGAGTTAGAGGACATTTTTTTTTGGTCTCGAAATTTGAAAATTGACATTTTTCTCCGTTGGGGGGGGGGGGGGGGTAAAGTCAACTTTTTTAGGTCGGCCATTGGTATAATTTTTTTGGTATAATTTTTAAATACCTAAGGGGGGGGGGGTTTCCTGCAAAATACACACATAAAAAATACCAAAGGGGGGGGGGTTCAACCCCCAACCCCCCCCCCCCCTGCGTACGCGCCTGGCTGTATGTTATAACTTGTAAAGTTGTAAAAGGGAAATAATGCCGATAATGATGAAATAGCAAGCAGGAATTTAAGAGTATCATGGGTACCACCAAATTCAATGGAAATTTGTATTTAAAAAGAGCCCCAGTCAGTACTAAAAGAGCCCCCTGAGAAGCTCTTTTTTCTTTAGAGGACCCGAAGACAAATAATTAATTTGAGCCATGCCCCCGCGTACCCTAGCTCTCCCCCAAACGAATGTTGAAAAGAGCAGGGGAAAGAATAAAGAGAATATAGGATGGGAAAAATTGAGAGGACATTAAATTTCCTCTTCTACAACTTTTAAAGATTGTGATAACAAGGACCACATCAATATGGTTCCAAAATATTGAAATGTTTTCCTCTGTTACAGATTGATCAGTAATGATATGGTAAAATTATGTTTAATCTGTTGCAGGATTTAGGCCCTGTTTCATGAAACTTGTTATCAATAACACATTTCTATGTAACACATTTCCTCTACGCCAATCAAATGCCACGATTTCAGTAGCTTATAACAATTATTGTAACTTGTTATTGATAACAAGGTTTGTGAAACAGGGCCCTGATAGGCCATGCCCAGGCCCGACGAAAGACTGATTTTGATGATAGACAAGTAGTTTTAAACTTTTATTTCATGGCCCGTTTTTTTTCTTCTTCTTTTTAACAGTTATGCATCGATCGGTCGTTTTTTGGAGCAGTCAGTAAGCCGTCATGTCTTGGTGAAGGATATGTCTTTTGCTCTGTCACCCGAACAGTACAAGTTCCTCCCAAAAGGCTTCAAGCATATCTTCTTAATTCGACATCCTCTCAGAGTGTTTAATTCGCTTCGAAAATCAGTATTTGCCCAACACTCAGCCTTGGGGATGTTGAAAGGCGAATCCGCAGTTGAGGAAACGTTCGACGTAGGACGCGACTACCCGTTCCCAAACGCAGGAGGTGGATCAGTACATAAAGATGTTTATGAAATGTGGAAGTATGTCAAAGAAAATCTAGGTTCCGAATCCATCGTAGTCGACAGCGACGAGCTGTTGACGAATCCAGCCGAAATACTGCCGAAGATCTGCCGAGCGGCCGGGCTGCCTTACGACGAATCGCTCTTGAAGTGGGATGAGTCTTCCGAAGTAACGAAGAGTTGGATGGTTCCTTTTGAGGACCTCGTAGAGAATTTTGTGTACTTCTTCGGCAGAGCTATCAGAAGCAGCGAATTTCTGCCGGCAAGCAAGATGCCATCACGTGACGACGTTCGACCTGACGTCATTAGATATACCGATCAGGCTATGAAGTATTATGACGAAATGTATGAAGTTAGGATCAAGGTCTAAGTAACTTATCCGTCATATACCTTGTTATGAGTTGCTAGTTAGGACACCAGTATGTGTGAATCTACCGGTATATTAGCAGCCGTGGGACAGGGGCGCACAGTATTGGGATTTAATTATAATTATTTTGTTATTATATCAATTACCACTGTATAATTATAACCTACATTGTTTATTGCTATAAATTTATGATCACTCACGAAACTATACCACTTGTTAATTGACTTGTTTATATAATTGTTTTATTTAGTTTAAAATGAATCGGACTAATAATAAGAAAGTTATGGCAGTGTATGAGTATTTGAAACATGCGAATCTCAAATAGGCAATTTGGTTGACTGGATTGTGACGATGCCGCGGATAATAATTAACTCTCTCATTCGTGTTGCTGTTTTTTCTCCTACGCGGCTTTTCCCTTGGGGAGATATTCAAAATATATTGTGGATAATATATTATTAAGTGTTCTCTAAAAATAAATGACACTCTCGAGTCATATATTTTGAAAAATTGACGTTTATGATTTCATTTCGTATGTTGGAACAATTGGAAAGGTGCCCAGCGCTTCGTCATAGTGACTCTACCAATTCAGAAAATTTGAAGTGCCCATACGTTCAGTGATTACAGCTTACAAAACAAAATATTCATAACTTTCTTATTCTTTGTCTGATTTCGTTTAAAATCGTACCAGCCTGCCCCTCTGATTTGTCAGCTTTCTTTTAGAATAGTTTGCTATAAGGGTTGGATTTCCCTTTAAAGTAGATATTCATTGATTTTAAAACTAACTTTATTTTCATTATTGCAAAGCTGAAACTTTGATTCGGTAAGGCTATAAAAATTCAATGCTCTGAAACATTCGTAGTAATGCTTATTATAAATAATTACAAAACGCTTAAATACAGCCCCGGCATAGCGCCTGAAGAGGTCTTCGAACGCTGCTGAGATGTGTGAGATCACAGGATGGACTTGATTTGCACAAGCAGACGATGTCCCATGACATCTCACACATTTTCAGTACATGTTTTTTCATCTTCTCTTGAGGTCTTTCTTTTTCTTCACTACCGTCAGGCTAAATGTATAATCTATTGCCTCACTCTAAACCCCCGCGCATGTTTTTATTTTGATGACAAATGCAGCGATACAAAAATAAAGGAATCTGTCGCTTGTAAACAAAAAAAGACGCCATTGTATATTCAGCTGCACACAACGCGGTATGTTCGGCATTTCAAGAGGGAACAAATGCCGTCCTATTATCATTCCAGGATTTTTCAATTTGAAAGTCTGGTTTCTTTGATTATTAATTTACCCCTATCATGTGTATTTACAAACAACAGATTTTAGTTATCAGAATCGGTTTCATATCCCCTTTTGAATGGTTTGAAATGCCATCACGTTTATATACACTAAACTCATTATAATTTAAGAAATAATTGCTTTGCAATTATGTTAATTCTTTATGGGATGTCGTCTGCATGCTTGGGCAGCATTGGTCCATTATGTGACGTCATTAAAACATCGTTATTTTTCTGTCGAATCTCTCGTATATCCCAGATGCTATATGGAGGTGGTTGTATGTGTATTTTTATAAATCACCCGAATAATATGTTATTGACCTGAAATTTGTACGATGGCCATCTATAAGCTTACCAGTTTCTAGTGATACATTATAGTTGACATATTTGTGATTTTCTTTGAATTTCCACTTTAACTAGAAGATTATGTCCTGGTGAAGGTGAAAATAGTTTGTGATCTTTCTAATTCCTTGTGTGTAAAGAGGCTTTCACACCGGGCCTTGCGTAGAGTTGCGTAGAGTTGCGTAGAGTTGCGTAGCGACTACGCCGATCGTACGCAACCCTACGCCGATCGTACGCAACCCTACGCAACTGTACGCGGAGGGACGCGAATGGGTACGCGAGATGAACGCAAAAAATTAAACATGTTTAATTTTTTTCGCGTACCTTCGGCGTAGACTTTACTACGCAACTGTACGCCAAGCCTACGCAACTGTACGCCAAGCCTACGCAACTGTACGCCAAGCCTACGCAAATGTACGCCAAGCCTACGCAACAATACGCTACCCTACGCCAGTCCGACGAAGCATTAAAAACGTATGGTATAAAGATTTTTTCGGGGACCTGGATGTAAACTTGGCAGATATTGATCATTGATCATTCTTGCTTGTTATTCTGTTTGTACCACTACAAGGTATATCAGACTGACATGTTTTGTTTTGTTATGGTTTATTAAATTTGTGATAATTGACATCTCAGGCTGTTGATATAATAAACAGAGATAAGATTCATAAGCTGATGCCTCATGCGAAAATTTTATTATGTTTTTGTGGAAATCTGTATGTATTTGTGTCGGTGTGTTTGCTTGTGTGTACGTTTGTGGTCCTGTTTGTATGTTTGTAATATAATTTTGTTTAATTGAAATGAGCAAAGAAATATTTTTTCTCACTCTGTTAATGAGACTGAGTGAGTGTGTATGTCAGAAGTATTTCTTTAAATTTAATAAATGACTAACATATATATCATTACATTGTCACACACAAATACGCTACGGACCAAGGACAACAGATATCGTCTTCAAACTTTCAGGAAACTGTTATGGAATGATATATTACAAATGAGTGAAAAAAAAGAGATATGGTCAACAAATATCAGACTTCTGTCCACATTTATTCACAAATCAAAATAAGCGCTCTCTTTTGTTGGCGTTTTGAGTTATCAAATTACATCACGTGACCTTGCAATTTTTATCAAAAGAAAGTTCATATATTACCCTTTTCAATGATACATAGTACAATAATGTAGTACATCAACAAAAATGTCTGCATTTTTTGGAAAATAAAATCTTGAACACATTAACATTACTGCAAAATAACCTCAGCAGTTGCTAATACCTACTAAAAAAAACTGAAAATTTAACGGTCAAAAACGTGTACCAAATGCCACTTTTTACTAGTAAAACTTATGGCAGGTTTATAAATGTTATTTTCTGCACTCACTATTTTACGCAAATTGGCGTTTCAGCCCTATTTCACGCATGCAAAAGAGACCCACTGCCCCTTGGTTGTCACAGTTTGTCAGAATGTTATGATTATACTAAGATCAAGTTATCTTCACATGTAATAACATGTACAATTCTTTGTACACTGCACAGTTCATTTATACAATAAATTCAACTGTCTTTTTAACATATTTTTTATTATATATGTTTATAAAGCGCCAATGGCTATACTCGCGGCTCCTACGAGCGTCTATTGCATTTTTACATGGCATTTTCTCCCACAGTAAGCAACCGTATGCCAGGCCTACGCAACCGTAAGCAACCCTACGCCAGGCCTACGCAACCGTACGTAACCCTACGCCAATTGCCTACGCACAGGGTACGTAACTATACGCCGATCGTACGCAAGCCTACGCATAACCTACGCAGGGACTACGCCGAAGCATCAATTTATTCATGAGTACGCAGCTTAACTTCGGCGTACTCGGTACGCAACACTACGTAACTCTACGCAGATCCGGTGTGAAAGGGGCTTAGACTCATAAGAGAAATGCCCCTGAAAAAGATTGAATTTGCAAATCGCAAATCGAAGTCGAAATATGATGAGATTGAGCTCTATAAAGTTTGGACAAAACATTCAAATGAGTGTTGTTCCACATTATTATAGTCTCACTCAGGCGCGTACGCAAGGGGGGTGGGAAGGGTTGAATCGTTGCGAAATTTTTGGGACCAAAAAAATTAAAAATGTCCTCTTATCCCCCCTGCTTATGCAGTGGCTGGCCGAGTCGTTGCGAAATTTTCGGCGTAATTTTCAAATTTGAAATCCCCCCCCCCCCGTATGCGCCTGGTCCCACTGTATAAGGAGGTTCAACTCAATTTAGCTACCTCCTTTTCAATTTCCTGATTGTAAACCCTCAAACTATTTACCATTCTCAATATAGTTTCTCTCACCTTTATTGTATGACCAGAATACAACTTTATTTGTTACAATTTGGGAAATGACGAAACGATAAAGAAGGAAGAAGGCATTATCACAAGATACATAAAAGGTTCACGTAGGATAATATGTGAATCACTAAGTAGGACAGAAGGAAAATGAAACAGAGTAAAACAATAAACGGGAAGAAGTAAGATTGAAGAAAAAAAAATCTTTCTTTCTGCCCACTTTTTATTCAGATACTTTATGAAGAAGAAATGAAATCTGTAAACGTGACTCTCTATTCTCCTACATACAGGCGCGTACACAGGGGAGGAAGGGGGGGGGGGGTAGGGGTTAACCCCCTTAACTTTTTTATGTGTGTGTTTTCGAGGACCCCCCCCCCCCCTTTTTTTTTCAATTGTGGTAATGGGTGACCCCAAAAAGCCGACCTTACCCCCCCCCCCCCCCCCCAACGAAACGAAAATATCGATCGGCTATATTATCAGATTTTGGGACAGAAAAAAAAATGTGCTCTTACCCCCCCCCACCCCCCCCCCCCCCCCCCCCCCCCCCCCCCCCCGAAAAAATTCCTGCGTACGCGCCTGCCTACATACACCTTTAGCGTCCCTCCCCTGGCTGCTATGGATTAAAACATTCATTCTTAATATGTTATGGTAGTAATTGGAATCTGCATTTATCTTCATTCTTTTGTTTACCCCCATATTTTCAAGTTTTCAATTATATTTATGAATTTGTTTGTGTATTTCAGTTGTCACATTTAATGTAAAATAAATTTTATATATATTACTATATGTAAAGGGTTAGGAAATTACCCTGTGACCTGTAGAGGGCGGAGTGCTAAGACCAGCCGGCACTCTTTGCTTGGCCCTCTCACAGGTGAGTTGACCAAACTTGAACCACTGTTATGTTTAGTAAATATTAATATTGTTATGCTAGAGATTTGTTATGTACATATGTGTATTGTGTCAGAACGATTTCAGTAGTTATTTTGATGTATCATGTGGGTTGATATGATTATATTGGAAACGAGGATTTAATGTTAAACTGTGTGATGCTTAGCGCTTTGATTTGTTATATGCATTTACATTGTAGTACATGGTTATGCACACTAATAAGTTGAACGCGCGGTACCAAAATTGGGTGTAGTACGTGCGCGCTAATGATGTGCGTGGTCCCAGGGCCAGGACCAGGACCAGGGTACGCTCTAATTGATGTGATGAGTATAAGTCTTGGTTAAGGAATGAGGTCAGTAAGAACGGAAGGGAGCATAGAAAAGAAGTGCTTATAATAGATGTTGAGTGTTTAAAAGT